ATCCTTTGTGGTCAGGCGGAATAAACTGACTATGATGAAATATGTATCGAATCGAGGAGGGAAGTTAGCGCAACAGATTTTGGATAGTCATATGTTTGATTTTGGCCATTTCCTGGGGGTTTAAACAGGTGCATATGCTAGGCGAATGCATTACATCCAGGAGAATCACTTCTAGAGATGATAAAATAATTTCGACTTTGAGACAGGGTAGATGCAAACAACCCACCCACATGTTTTTTCTGAAATGTTTTCCTGATTTTCAACCCCTTCCATCCTTGCTTTTTTAATTTTTCTTGCATCAATATGTTGCATTTTGACACACAGTTAATCCCTTAAAAGGAATAAATGATTCCTTTTAGATAAAGTGGAAAACAATATTTCCCATGTTATTTTCCCATAGGAAAAATCATTGCTTTCAGCTAAGTTTGGTCACCCATAATGGGTATCTTTAAAACCCCTGAAGGAATCACTTATTCCTTTAAAGTGGTTAACTATGTGTCAAAATGCAACATATTGATGCAAGAAAAGTTAAAAAAAGCAGGAATGAAAGAGGTCGAAAATTAAGAAAACATTTCAGAAAAAACATGTGGGTGAGTTGTTTGCATCTACCCTGTCTCAAAGTCGAAATTATTTTATCATCTCTAGAAGTGATTTTCCTGGAGGTAATGCATTGGCCTAACATATGCAATTGTTTAAATCCACAGAAAATGGCCAAAATCCAACATATGACTGTCCAAAATCTGTTGCGCTAATTTCCCTCCTCCTTTAACTCAAATCCTCTCACATCCACGATAGCCTCATATGTTAAAATACCTGGGGAAGATATCACCCATACTGTTGTGTACACTGATAAGATAACAGTTCAAACACACGCATCATCAGTAACATCAGTGGATGGTGCTGCATCAGTTCTATCGAAGCTGAACACAATCAACACAATAGCCCGTGCCCCCCATAAAATTTGTAAGCACGACAATCGCATTGATGTTCTCATCACAAAGTGTTTTTAATATTGCTTTCCCCTTTCCAAAAAGTCCATCATCATCGTACCCCTTAATGATATTTCCATTTTCTCCAGGTGCTCTGTAAGCATATGAATTATGGGGGGGCACGGGCTATTGTGTTGACATGCACTAAATCTACTAGCAATCTACCAACCCATTCATAATTCACTAGCTTCTGGTACACATTTCATTCATTTACCATTTAAATGCCTAAGTAGCGCTCCCTATAGGCTGCTCAGAAATGGACTTGGGCCCATGAGTGTCACTTAAAAGTGGTTTATTTTCATTTCAACACTAAAAAGGAATCATTTGGCATTGGTTTACTCGATGTACTCGAGATGTCACTTAAACATCAATTTAGCGCCCCCTATAAGCTGCTCAGAAATGGACTTGGGGCCATGAGTGGCACTTAAGAGTGGTTTATTTTCATTTCAACACTAAAAAGGAATCATTTGGCATTGGTTTACTCGATGTACTCGAGATGTCACTTAAACATCAATTTAGTGCCCCCTATAAGCTGCTCAGAAATGGACTTGGGGCCATGAGTGGCACTTAAAGTCCCCGATAAATCGGGCTACGTATACCGCCGTGTTTACATTAGGGGATTAGAAGAGTTTATTTTTTATTTAGGTATGCAAGCTACGTATATCAATATTAGGCCTTCATTCATGTACTCGTGTGCATGTAATCAGCATGCCCTTCAATATTATGTAAACCAGGCTATTCAAGTACTGTATAATGTACACTATTTATGTGTGTACTACATACAATACAACTCCCTGGGAAACAAAACACAAATACTTTTTATATGTTCAAAATGAGCCATTTGATTGATGCAAACACTAAATAGCTTCATAAATAACATCTACAAAGTATATCTAACAGTAATTTTCAGTTTCAATGGTGAAACTTCCCTGGTTACTATTATATGGGAAATCATCACGAGACGAAGATCGTTCGCCTTTCTGGCTTACCTCTGAATCGTGTACCCGGTAATCTCTTTATATAGTTTAGCGAGAGCTGTGCGCCTGCGCAGTTTTAAACTTTGGCGCACACTTTAAGAGTGGTTTATTTTCATTTCAACACTAAAAGGAAATTATTTGGCATTGGTTTGCTTGATGTACTCGAGATGTCATTTAAAACCAATTTTTGGGGCATTTTGAAGAGCGCCATCTGGTGGTTGGCCCCGTGGTTGGCCCAAATCTTCCACAAGAGTTCCATTTCTGGTGATGTCAGACACATATCTACTAATTGCAAGCCTCAAACCTTTGGTACTCGAGATGTCAATTAAATCTTTGCTCGCTCCTAGGCTATATAGTGTATTGAGAGTTTTTAGCAATCACTCAGAGCTAAGTCAGCTCGTAATTATATTCACTCAGAGCTAAGTCAGCTCGTAATTATATTCACGCAGAGCCAAGTCAGCTCGTAATTATATTCACGCAGAGCCAAGTCAGCTCGTAATTATATTCACTCAGAGCTAAGTCAGCTCGTAATTATATTCACGCAGAGCCAAGTCAGCTCGTAATTATATTCACGCAGAGCCAAGTCAGCTTGTAATTATATTCACGCAGAGCCAAGTCAGCTCGAAAGAATTACTTCAAGCGTGGTCTATAAAAACAAAACGCTTATCACAATGAAAGCCCAGTTTCCCGCGTTTTGCGAGACAAAGAAATTCCCAATAAGGGGTAAGCTGCTATTCACAAAGTAATTGAACCCCAAGTCAGGGTTATCTACATGTATTCATCGAAATATATCCAGTTAGATATACAGGGCGTATCAAAAAAACGCAACAAGTAGTTATCTCGTAAAATCACAAAACTAGTGATGACTACATCAATTTCATTTAATGTATCATAAAGCCATGTCTCTTTTTTGCAATGGTATGTCATTCATTCACATGTGGTAATGGTTGGGTGAGAAATCCTTCCATTTGCACGTACAGTGGGTCAAAATCGGCTCTGCGCCAAGTTTTAGATATTGAAAAAATCAGTGCAAGGGCTAAGTGCCAAATGGAAGTTCCCCTGACTTGAATTGTTGTGACTTTTTCTTTTGGAGCTATCAGCTCAGGAGCATCTGTGCTCACAATTCCTCAACCAGATATTGCAAAACCTCGAGAAAGTTTTGCCCATGGGCTGCTTTTCTTTGCTTTAACCCATACATTATTCAGGGCTGAACAATGCATGATTTGGACAGATGAGCGCATCTTTATGTGCAAGGAAGTTGTGGCAATTTGGAGGGGGTATAGGATGTATTCTTGCAAGAGTATGAGTATGAACACTTTACTGTCTATGCCATACCTGTCACACCTTCTTCCAATAGCCCCTATGCCCCTTGTACTGACTTTTGCAATGTTTCAAACTTGGGTCCGAGCTGGATTTTGCCCCACTTTGCAAAATTAATGATTATTCGGCCAGAGATGACCCCCTGTGAATGAATTATATTCCATTGCAAAGAGGAGTAATTTGGCTTTTTGGTACATTGAATTAAATGGATGCAGTCAGCATTGATTTTATGTTTTCGTCCAATATTGCATCGGCCTCCGTACACTGACTTTTGCGATGTTCATAACTTGGCCCGAAGCTAATTTTGGCCCACTTTGCAAATAGAATAATTACTAACCCAACCATGACCAAATATCAATGAATGATATATCATTGTAAAGAGGAGACACATGGCTTTATGGTGCATTGAATGAAATCAATGCTGTTATCGCTGGTTTTGTGCTTTTCCAAGATAACAATCTGTTGCGTTTTTTTTGATACGCACTGTATATCAATGTATTGAATGTACTGAACCGTTAGACAAGGTAGCTAAAGTCCAGGCATAAAACCGCAAAGTGAATTCTCACCTGCTGAGCAGCTCGAATGTGGAACACGTCCACCTACCTGCAAAGTCGCAATAGATCTAACCTATCCATGCGCAGTGAATCATCTCATGTAATCGGCATTGGTTTTAGCAAGGAGGTAGAATTAACTCACTTGGAACGTTTGAATTTTCGATATTGACATCTGATCTGATAGTTTGCTTGTATAGTGACAACGGTATGGAAATAGTATCCAAGCATAAAGCTTTTTGCAAGGCCTGAGTGCGCCGCTAACATGCTAAATAGAAGAGTTAGCTGACGTTTGGGAGTCTGACTTACCTTCTAAAGGTTAGAACCCGAATCTTAATGAAACCATATCACCTTTGTTCCGTCAACCATGGAGCATTTGCCACAACATCCAAGAGGTAAATCATGGATCGAGAAAATGAATGATTTCCTTGTAAGTTCCGGAAGTTTCAATACGAAAAATTACCGAACATATGTGAAAACCGAATATTTGTTCGTTGTTTTCACGATTTACAGGTTCGTTTGTTCTTCAATGTTTTGGTCTAAATTATAAAGCATCACCAACAGGTCTTACTCTATTAATCGACTAATACAGCAGACGGCTCATATTTCTACGTAGCATTTCATTCAGACCAATAGTGGGAGTGTAAATCACGCAGTTTCGTTCGTTGCGTACTTCACTTGAAATTGGTAATTTTAAATATTGACTACTTCACTTAGCTTGGCGGATGTAGAACATTGCTTAATATTCTTTTAATTTTCACACCAGACATGCTTGGTTGACACGTCAACAAAGTAAAGTTCAAGGGTCAATGCGTTATTTCGTGATAACTACAACGCCTTCCCGGAAGTCAACATTGATGAAAAATGAAAAAGTCGGAAAAGTATTTACACTAATTTCTATCAAATGCTATGTTTATGCATCATCATCGACGCAACAAAGGTGATATGGTTTCATTAAAATTCGGGTTCTAACCTTTAGAAGGTAAGTCAGACTCCCAAACGTCAGCTAACTCTTCTATTTAGCATGTTAGCGGCGCACTCAGGCCTTGCAAAAAGCTTTAGACGTTTACTTGGTTTACTTTTTTTTATCAGTGCACTCACATTGTGCTATATATTTTATGAACAAAGTCTAAAAATCAAAGAAACATTTTATGTCAATGAAGTACCCAAAGGAATTAACGCTCATCTGGCTAGTATAGGTCCTCTTAAGAATACAGATAAATGGATAATAGTAACGACCATATCGTCTCCCACAGAGGATATAAAGAGTTTAGCGAAATTGACAGAATGGCAGCTCCTGGTTGTTGCGGATACAAAGACTCCAAAGGACTGGCAGTAAGAATGAATTTTCACATCTGTTTCATCGTATCCCATTTTTGGAAGAATAAAGATAGGCTATAAATCATATGTAGATCAAAATATCACGTTTTTGGAAACATTCCTAAAATTACATCATAGAACATGCATTGAATGTCAAAACTGACTAGTTTTTAAGGTCAGGGTGCATGATGGGAAATTTTCTGCATTCCTCAATTGAGTCACATGTTATTTTTCAAACAAGAATCACTCCTTCCCTTCATTGTCTATATCTTCCAGTTTTGCACAAAGAGTGCACTTATGTGCCTAGAAAAGACTTGTGAGAAGAATGTTTTGATAAAGTGTATAAAAAACAAGAAAATTCAGTGAAAAAAATCACAAAATTTTCAGAAATTTTTTCCACTGAATTTTCTCATTTTTTATACATTTTACAAAACAAACCTTCTCACAAGGCTTTTCTAGGCACAGAAGTGCATTCTTTGTGCAAACTTGGAAGATGTAGACAATGTTGGGAAGGAGTTATTCATGTTTGAAAAATAACATGTGACTCAATTGAGGAATGCAGAAAATTTCCCAACATGCACCTTGTCCTTAAGATCTATTTTTCCCCAAATTCCAATATTCACATTCGTTTTTTCACAGAAAATCAAATTATTAATTTCTTATTCTGATATCAAAATTATCAATGAAAGGAAAGTTATCAATAGGGACAATATGATATTTCCCAGGACGACCAGAGGGAAATATCATATAGTCACGAGGAATACAGCCATGTATATGTATTTAATCCCGACCAGTCAATAAGATTTATCCCATGCTATATTCATGACTCTTCGTAAATTCATTAGTTCAAAATCCATATTTGATTTTTGTATGAAACAAAATAAGACTATACATTTAGTCTACAAAATATGATAAAACGTGATGACATTCTGAAATATAATTTTTTATTTTACAGCATAAACGCATCAACATCAAAAATCTTAAAAATACGGGGGGTGATCAATAAGTAATTGACGCTTTTTACACAGATACTTTTTATAGACCAATCCCTTTGATTTTCCTACAAGTGATACACCATTCAATCATCTATCAATTCTGAAGATTTGAAGACAAAATATGTAATACATGTTGATATATTAGCATTTCCGTGAAGGAGGTACAGGTGCCCCGGTGTAAAAGGGTAGGAGGTCCTATCAAATTATGGTCCTACTCTCCATCGATTTATATGGTGACCTAAATGCAACTCTTTCCCTCATTATCTTATACGCAATCAGGGCCAGTAAGGGCCGTTAAGAAAGGGGACCATAATCCCTGGGGGACCATCATTTCTTTCACACCGGGACCGACATTTACGTCACATATTCAGTTTTTAGCCAGTTTGGCAAATTTCAGTTATATAGTCAAAACAGAAATGTTTGTGACTACTTGAATTTAAAAAATAAGCAATCAAATGACCATATTGAAACAGTTTATGTAAAAATAGAAACATTTATATTTATCCTAACTTTTGTATATTTTATTTTGTTTTGTAGTTTAGCTATCATATCTGTGTCCTCTTATATTTTGATACTTCTCTGCCATGTTATTTTCTGAAAAATTAACATGGCTGAAACTGCCTAAATTACAAAAGGCCACAGCTCTGCTGCACATTATACATTACTATCTGAAATATACAAAAGTTAGGATAAATATAAATGTTTCTATTTTTAGATAAACTGTTTCAATATGGTCATTTGATTGCTTATTTTTTAAATTCAAAGTAGTCACAAACATTTCTGTTTTGACTGTACTTGAACTTTTTTATATTCAACAAGTGTTGTGTTGTTTGAAATATTTTGCTGTTTGGTAACACATAATCAGAAAATATTGTGATGTCAGAGTGTTGTATAGAAGGGATTTACAGGTCAATTTGAGAAAGTATTGTGGAAGAAAGGGTTGGTGAGCACCCTACTCCATTAGACAATGCAATTGCCCAAAGATCTCGAGATGTTCAGAAAACAATATCCCTAGACCTAAAAATTGAGCCCTTGGCCAATGCACCATATTGTCCAGATTTGCCAACATGTGACTTATTTATAAAACAGCCCGTGCAACTACATCTTGCTACCATATCAGAGAATGGATTCAGCCTTGTCTCACAATCTTGAATTAGGAGGATGAGGAATTGTGTGCATGTAGCACTAGGTGGAACCTATGTAGAGGGCCCTGTGAATGAATGTGGTATGAATACCACATAGTAATAATAAAATATTCAAAATCAACTATGGCATAATAAAATGGGGTAATTCATGACCATAATGGTTTGTTTTGATCAGCCTACATTCAACTGCGTTGCATGTTAAACAAGCTAAAAGAACTTCAGAATGTTTGACGTCATGTTGGTCCCGGGGTACATATACCTCCTTCACGGAAATAAAGATATATCAAAATATATTACATGTTTTGTTTTCAAATCTTCAGAGTTGATAGATAATTGAATGATGTATCACTGGTAAGAAAATCGAAGGGATTGGTCTGTAAAAAGCATCTGTGTAAAAAAGCGTCCATTACTTATTGATCACCCCTCGTACGTATATATATGTTCATCACAGGGCATTCGCATAATGCTCTGATTTCTATGACGTTTAAAAGTCCGTGTCAGAGTATGATGATGAAATTACAATTCGCCTGTTAATGTACAATCTTCATACTTCTTACGTTTCAAAATCTCTGTTTTCAAGTGTGTTAAAGAAATATTGTTTCTCACATAAGAACATTATTATAGCACGCTATATCGACCTAACTAAAGGTGATTGGAAGCTTTGTTTGGCAAAAATTCCCAGGGGGTGAAAACAATTTTCGTGAGCGGGCTTGGTGAGTGAATAAGATTTTCATGAGCGGGATTGGGCGGGACAATACGATGTTTTCAATATCAAAAAAAATCGAGGGTGTTGTTCACGGGGAAGTACTAGTACAGGGTGTTCAAAAAAACGAAACCCAAAGAAATCGCTTTATCTTGAAAAATACTGCTTCAATTATGTTCATATTTTCAGGAAATAAAGAAGAGACTGTGTATGTATAGCTCCTGTAAATGGTTATTTGTAAAACATAATGCCTTGGACACCTGCTCAAAAGACAGTTGTACTAGGAAAATACGAAAAACTCTGTCAGGGGTGACTGCAACCTCAAAAAAATTAAATAACTTTCTAACCATAGTGTTTTGGCTCTTCAAATTTGGCACAAATCATTTTTATTCACTGTATGGTAAATCTATTGAGTGAAATCACTTCAGGGACTTTACAGTCATGGTTGAAATGCTTTAAAATCGCAGTCAAACGTCCTGGTTCAGGGAGACTTAAGAAGGCATTTTGACCATGACTGTAAAGTCCCTGGAGTGATTTTGATGAAACTCAAGAAATTCACTACACATTGAATGAGGATAATTTGTGCCAAATCTGAAGTGCCAAAACACCATGGTTAGAAAGTTATTTGGTTTTATTGCTCTGGCTGTCACCTCTGACTGCGTTTTCATGTTTTCCTAGAATAACTGTCATTTGAGCAGGTGTCCAAGGCATCGTGTTTTACAACTTACTGACAACAGGAACTATACATACACAGTCTCTTCTTTCTTTTCCTGAAAAAATGAACATAATTGAATTAGTATTTTCCAAGATATAGTGATTTTCCATTCGCATTTTTCGTATTTTGCTAGTACAACTGTCTTTTGAGAAAGCGTCCAGGACATCATGTTTTACAACTAACTAACAACAGGGGCTATACATACACAGTCTCTTCTTTCTTTCCTGAAAATATGAACATAATTTGAAGAGTATTCTTCAAGATATAGCGATTTCTTTGGGTTGCGTTTTTTTAACACCCTTTATCATCGGATAACCTATATTTGTGTTGTTTCAAAACATAGGATATTCATTTTTCATGATCTGGCGTCAACTTTTGATTTCAGTTTTGATGGAGTTCTATTCCTAAGTTTAGACGCTCAGAGATCTCTTCGCTACAAAGTTCTTGAACATATACCGTATTCTAGCTACAGCCGCAAGAATATAGGATATCTTTTTGCAATACAGGTTGGTACTGAAGTAATGTGTAAGTGTATATGGAACATACTGACATATACCATATTCTAGCTACAGCCGCAAGAATATAGGATATCTTTTTGCAATACAGGTTGGTACTGAAGTAATGTGTAAGTGTATATGGAACATACTGACATATACCATATTCTAGCTACAGCCGCAAGAATATAGGATATCTTTTTGCAATACAGGTTGGTACTGAAGTAATGTGTAAGTGTATATGGAACATATACCATATTCTAGCTACAACCGCAAGAATATAGGATATCTTAAATGTAATACAGGTTGGTACCAATGTGATATATAGAGGTTATTTAATGGGAGGTTTTTACGGATTTATCATATACTTAGCTAGATTATGAAGATTAGTCGATTATTAAGTATGCATTGAATGTTATGGAACCCTCATCAGGAGGAGTGAGAAGCTCCCATAATTCTTTCATATTCTATCGTATTCGGGGATTCCCCATTACATCATCTCTAGCATCATCTCCAATCAAATTGCTGGATTCGATCACATGAACAATCATGAGCAAGCGCTCTCTCAGTGCTGCGAATGCGCAAAGTTAAATTTAAAATCGTTGGAATGGCGTTAACATCAGCTAAACATCATTATTTCAAACCTACGGTAAAACTATTGAAGTTACTCGATCATAAAACTACAGTGAACATTTGAAGATCCATTTCAACAGCAAATTGAGGCCTGTTTATAAAATTTGTTTTCGAACGTGTTTATATGATAGGTCATCTTTGGGAAATCCCCCCCCCCCTGGAACCCTCATGTAATAATTACAAATGATAGCTACAATCAAAACATGAATATCTTATATAAATGCTAAGTTCTTAACAGTTATTGTTCTTGTGGCTGTAATATTATCGACAAGGCCTTTCTTTTGATGGTTATGCATACTAGTTGTAAGCCTTGCCTGTAATATTATCGACTAGGCCGCATCATTGTTTGTATATACATTAATAGCTTAGTGGCATCACCTTGGCTGCTCAGGTAGAAATTAACGTCTAAACATATTTTGCCCTGGTTATATCTGTTCTTTTTCTGGACACAATGATACTATAGTTCCACCTCGTAGCATTGTTGAGATAGTTGGATGTTCATAAAAGAGAGAGACGAACCGGATGTTATTATCCATGCAAAAGTTCAAGTTCAGTCTTCACATACGTGTAGTACTTTATTTGCTGCATGTGTCATGTACTGTTGTAGTATTAACGTAACGACCCTCAACCACAGGTAGTAATTCAATGGATTATATAACAGCCTTTTTATAGCCTGTATTTTATCTGCTAACCATCTACATGAACTTGATTACACCATCACAGTGAGATAATTCAGATGTAACCCATAAATGAAATTGGTATCTACAGTCTCGTCCATTTTGATAAATGCAGCATTTGACCATTTCTTTTATCTATTATACCTATTCATACATTTGACAAATTGATACAGATGAGCTAACTGATTTTTCTGAATAGGGTTGTTGCACAATGAATGAGCATTCAAACAGCATGACCACATGATATTATAATATTGAAATGTTGAAACTCATTGTGTTTTATTGAGTAAAGTGTATTCAGTTTTTGGATTTGCTCATATTTTATTTTTGGATACCGCTCATATTTTTCTCAATCTGATGTTCTATATCACATAGACACGCGGTACTAACTCACCGGGGCGTATTGAAACCAAAACGCCCCGCAAAACCGTTAATTTGAATTTTAAACCTCCCCTTTCTTTGGAAAATCAATGATTGTGAGTCTCACAGTACACCGTTTTTCTTCAAACGTGTTCCATTAAAACCTTCACAGAAATACCTTTCACTCGGTACATTGTTTTTGTGTACAGAGTCGCTCGTTTTAGTGGCGTTTTGGTCCCCAGATGTGAGATGCAAATCATCAGAGACTTCAACCAAAAGCCTCGATATATCGCCAGTTATTTCAATATTCTCCCCTATATTTTGCAGAAGGACTCTCATTACAACCCTCCATCTCTGCATCAACATACTTTTTACATTAAACGCAGCAATTTCCAAAAGTCCTACGCATCTGTTCGAAATTGATCAAAACGCCCCGTTCTCTTCCAAAACGCCCCGTTGGATCTATAGACCTTGAAACTACACGTTTGTAGTCATAGACTCTTCGGGGCGTTTTGGAAGACAACGGGGCGTTTTGGTCAATTTCGAACAGTTGCGTAGGACTTATCAGAATTGCTGCGTTTCATGTAATAAACATGTTGATGCAGCGATGGAGGCTTGTAATGGGAGTCCTTGCGCAGAATATGGGGGAGAGTGATAGAAGAACTGGCGAGATATCAAGGATTGTGGTTGAAATCTCTGAGACTTTGCAACTTCTCACATCTTGGGACCAAAACGCCGCTAAAACGAGGGACTTCGTAAACAAAAGCAATGTCTCGACTGAAAGGTATTTCTGTGAAAGTTTAAATGGAACAAGTTTGAAGAAAAACGGTGTAGTGTGAGACTCACTATCATTGATTTTCCAAAGACATGGTAGATTTGAAATTCAAATTAACGGTTTTGCGGGGCGTTTTGGTTTCGATACGCCCCGGTGAGTTAGTACCGCGTGATAGACATCTAAACAAAGGTTTGTTTATTCATGTCGTCACACAATGTTTTGTTTTTCAATCTTTGTCCTTACGATGTTCAGAATTTGATTTCTATGTGTAAACTATCTGACCTAGAATTACATAATTAGAATAAATGTGCTATGTTTCACTGATTAATAAGGAATTGGAAAAGATTGATTTCTTATGTAAGATTTTTTGCATTTTCATTCGTTGATTCATTGAACATCATACAACTACTGCATTAAAAAATCAGATGTACCAAACCTGCTAATAATGTGCAAAAACTCATTATACCAAAATTACAATACCCAAATCCATCTACTAAATGATAAAACATGATCTAACATCAAACCACAATTTTGCAAAGCCCGTCACACAACAATCAAATACCTACAGGGTGAGTCAAAAAGGTAGCCCAAACAAATCTTAATAATTCGGTGATCCTGCATGGGATAAGTGTCATACTTGGCACAATCAGGCCTTGTCCAATGTATTGTCATTCTACCAAGTTCTACCAATAGGTATATCTCTCGTGTTCACTATTTTATGGCCACTTCACATGCCATAAAATATGGACATCGTGTCTGGAGGCCAACTTGAACGTATTGGGCGTAGTTGTTCACAACACGAGCATAAACATCTTGTGTATATGGCTCTCACCTTCCTTCTTATCTATCAGATAAAAATCTGTTGGGATTTATGTCCAGTCAGTGAGATACATTTCGGCATTTTGACCATGTTTTGTAAATGGCCATAACATCGTGACTGTTAGAGACCAATCACACTAAGTAGAATGAAAGAACATTAAACAAGGTTTAATTGTACCAAATATGATTTTAAGCCCATGCTAAATGACTGAGTTATTAACATTAATTTGCTTGGGTTACCTTTTTTGCTCACCCTGTAGATCAACCATGCAACACAATTGGGTGCATGTGCTCCCACATGCACCCTGTGACCGAATGAATATAAAACCATCAGTAGCACACGTATACAAACACAAACAGCGCAATATGACATTGACCAAAACATATTTTTCAAATCAACAACCCACAGTGGAAATTTCTGGTCTGATGGTTTCAAGATGAATAGTGTAAAAATAGTGTGTTAACATTGTAATGATTTACATGGTGGGTGCTTTATTTAAAATTGTAAAATCTATAAGTCCGAAGCCTGTATTTCAGTCCTGTTCTGTTTTGAAAATTTCAAAACTGTGTATCTTAAAATACTTATAAAGAGATACAACTTTTAATATGTATTTATTCCATCATCATCAATGATCATACAGTTTAATGTAATTATGTGCTTGTTTTATTTGCCTTGGAACAGATTAGTGATTAATGTTTTAGAACTGAACTCATAATATTTGCAGGGAAAGAAAACAAAAATTGCACATTGAGCAGAACATGTTCATTATCAAATCTAATATCCACAATATTTGTATATGTAGGATATTGATTAAATATTAACAATATCAGATTTACATAAATATGAATCAAATGTAGCATTTTACTATTTTGTTCTGGATCGATCTGGTATTCTTCTGGGTTGTTCTGGTCACATTGTTCAGGTGTGATCTGATCGGATTTCTCAAGGATAACTTGATGGGGTGGTTCAGTTGCATTCCTGTAGTGCCCTAGTGTGACAGGTTGTGTCTCTTGGGTGAACTTGTTTAGTTCAAGGATGGTTTGGTGAGGCTTAGCGGTATTCCTATGAAGCATTTGGCTAGTATACTCATCATCGAGACAATCCATATCAGAGCTACACGAAGAACTGAGAACCACATTTTCAATTTGAGTTCTGTCATATCTAGCATCCACTTCCAAACATATACTCCTCAAAAAAAGTTAAGGACCTTATAGGTTACATGTTAACCCCCATATTTGTTTAACGACTGTTTTCTAAGCGGGGAACAAAAGAAATCCCAATAAAGAAAATAAATCTGTATCTTGATTCTATTCACTATAAAGTCCGCAACGTTTCAATCTTATATCTCCATTACATTGAGTCAAAATTTGATGTCAAAATTGATGAATTTCATGAAATTTAACAAAAATGGCAGATCCCATGTTAAACAATAAGTTAATAATAAGTGTACAGACGTCTATGTTAAATATATATGTACATTAGGTCAAATGTGTGAGTTAACTTGCACATTTTACAAAAAAACGATCAACATTTGTGCATTACAGGTACAATATGCAGTGTACATAACATAATAAAATGCATTTATTGAAATAAAACTTGGATTTTGAAAATAATTTGATATCAACATTAGAACATTTGTGAATCGAACTTTTTAAATTCGTATTACATTACATAAAATCATTTTTCCCACAATGCAACTGAATCAACATTCTACAATTTAATCACGCAAACCAAGGAGGATTGGCTC